TGTGATTGATATGACAAATAACTTGTCAAGGAAAGTTTATACCTATACAGGAGTGGGTTGTAATGGAGATGGTGTTGATATTGCCCCCACCCCTATCCACACATCTTCCACTTCCATAGGTGGTGATATTCTGACCATTTTGTTGTGCCCACCCCTACCCATACCTCTTCCTCTACCATGGACCAGAGTGATATTTTGACCAACATGTTGTGCCCCACCACTACCTACACCTCTTCCCTTATCATAGGTGGTGATATTTTCACTCCTTTGTTGTGCCCTACGCCTAACTATACTCTTCCCCCACCATTTGTAGGAATATTTTGACCCACCTGTGCAAAACCAAAAAAAATTGCATAATTAGTTTGTGCCAACAAACATTAATAAATAACACATGAAGAAGACCATGTACCTATAAAGTTGATGTAATTGAGAATGTGTTGGTTGCGGCATTCCTTAACACCTAATATATTGTGAAGAAACTTGTGAATCAACTTGTTGTGAAGAACCCTATGAAGGAACCTATTGTGTCTTACCCTTACCCATATCTATACCACCACCTAAAGAACTAACAATCCACTACCCCTACCATGAGACACTTGATGAGATTGTGGTGCCAATGTCATCTCAAAACCCAATACTAGCACATTGTTGCTTGACTGCCCCTATTGTACATAGAAAAACAATGTTAGTATCTTGGGGTTCATTGAAAAATCACTAGATATAATAACATCAATGGGTGTCATTATGACCCACCAAACAAGCTAATCAATAGAGAAACATTATAATAGGCTTATCAAATTGGAGAAATCCAATTAATATGGAATGGAAAGCATTAACAATCCAAAGCAATTTCAATGGAGCATACCCCCAAACAAACCTATATATGTAGAGCTAAAGTATTGATCTAATTCAAATATTATATTATATATTCCTTACCCATTACAAGTTTAAGAAATTTGTTTCATTTAAATTTGGCACCAAGTTATATGATTTGGGGTTCTTTAACAAAACATAAAATGAAGTATAAATTAACTATGGATAACCTTGCATTGTACCCATACCATTGCTTCGATGACTGTCTTTGCCATGACCTTTGCATCTTCTACGATTGTGTCTTTCAACCCCACAAAGTGTACATTTCATCTTCTTAAACCTCATAGACACGTACCCCAAAAGTGTCTTCGTCTAATCCCTTCCTCTACCCTTCATTTGGTCCCTTCCTCCTAGACACTCACAAAATTTAAGGACTATAAGCCTTCAGGCACCTCTCATTAGTATACAATGGATCAATATAGTCATATATTTTGCCTTGTTGTGATTAAATGTATGAAACTTCATAGCAAAATGACAACCTATTAGTGTCCATTCCCTAAAACTATAAGTCTTGGTTTACAAATTCACCACTAATCTTCTCCTAAAATGTTCAACCTTAAAATTTCCATTGCCAACATACACAGAAAAGCAAATTTTGGCTTCTGCTTGGGCATTCTCCAACTTCTTCCGAACATTAGGTTATATTGGCCCCCTATCCCTTTTCAATTTATCCTGCCTTGTTTAACCTAATTTCATCATATGCCTTCAAATGGTATCAACTAAAGTGATTATGGGCTTGTCTCTACTATCCAAAATCCACTTATTGAATGACTCCAAAAAATTGTTGCAAATATCATTACTTCTAGCCCTAGGTCTAAATGCAGATTTAGACCATAGGTTAGAAGGCACAACCCTTAACCACTCATTCTATTCAAACCTTTTAGCTTATCTATATGCCACTGAAACTCAGGGATAGTGTATGTCATTACAACTCCCTAGAAACAATCCCTAAGATCGATCCATTCCCTTAAACCAATCCTTAGAGTTTGCATACATGTTTCTAACACAACACTTAGATCTACTCCTGGCATTAAAGTTTGAAAACATTCATCCAACCCCACAAGAAAGTATCCATTAAATTTTTAGTTTCATAGTAGTTAATAAACGCAAACTAATATAAATTTACATATGAACAAGCTCATATACCTCTTGCTTGTTAGATACGTAAGTCTAGTCACACTCCTATAGACTTCCAATGCAGTCATTTAATAATCTTATAAAATAAATCCAAGCATCCTTCCCCTCAACCTCTACAATAGCAAATGCTATTGGAAAAATAACACTATTATCGTTTAACCCAACAATATGTAAAATCTACCCTGGATGGGGTTCTTTCAAATAGCACCCATCCAACCCTATGATAGGGTGACATCCATCTTTAAAACCATTCTTCATTGCAGTTAAACAAACAAAAAGTCATTAAAACCCCCTATACACTTTCCACTTGTACAATTTTCATTGAACCAAATCTTCATCATACTTTCAAGAGATTTGTCTTTAAAATGGTTTTACAATAATCTCTCAACCAATTGTATTGTTCAATATGCACCCCTTCAATATCAACAAATGTCCGCCTCTTTGCCCGGTAAGCTCTGGATTTGGAAACTTCGACCCTAAATTGTCTCAGAGTTTCATTTTGCAAAACACTAACTTTCTAATCTAGATCATCTCTAAACTTATCTTTATATTTATATGCCAATCATGTAGATGTCACCCTTGTATTTACATATACACGCTCACATGTGTGCTTACTTTTGAATGACTTTATTTGTAAGGTTTCTTTACTTTGCAACCAAAAATCATGAATACATCAACCACACTTATCTTTCTTATAGTCGTAACCCTCGTACTCTCATTCTTAAAATACTTGAAGTCAAATTCATTCATAATTACATAGTTAACTAAAGACTTCCTAAATATTGTAAAATTGGAGAATATCATGCCCACAACCAACTGTGGATTCTCAATTTGTCTATCAAAGAAATATTCAAATCTAGGTCTTCCTTCTTCTTTAGACCCATACAAACTTAACAAATCAATTGGTTGCTTAGAATCAAACAATATCTATAACCCAACAACAACATCAACATTATTGACAAGAACTTGATGTCTTCTAACATCATCACCCTCAACATCATCATCAATACACTCTTCATCACATACTCAATCTCAAAACCATCTTCATCCAATTCATACTCAGATCACCCTCTAGATCAGACCCATAATCTACTTTAGGCTCAAAATTATCATCAACACCATACTTTAGTTCATCCACGTGATTAGTTGCAATTGTTGGTGTCTCATGCCCATATGAACCAACTTGTGACAACCTAGCTTCTAACATATTTAAGTTAATCCTCTTACATCCTTTTACATAAATATTGATATGCCCATGCCTCTCACAAACCCTGCACATCTCTAGGATATCATCATCAATTTAAATCCTACTAACCCATCATCTAGGTTTGCATTGAGCTTCCTATAATGCATTTCACTAGTTGCATTGTAGCCAAGATCTTTCACCAACAATTGTATCTCAATGAGTGATAAAATGTTATCATCAAAATTGTGATTCACAAATACATCACCACCATATATATCATTGGTGGTGTGTTCAAAAAGTAACCACTTTGGTGTATGTTGATGGTGTATATCATACTAGACATCTGGACCAAAAAATAAACACCACTACCAATGTTAACACCATATTCAATATATTAATAAGTAAACTAAGAGAGACAATATTCAAGTGTAGCAAAATCCTCAAAATTCATTAAGCATGTTATTCAACAGGAGTTTTTATTTCATGCTCCCTGAATATGTAAAAGATTTGGGGCTTTGCTTTGACATTTTTTTAGTTAAACCCCATCTTTCTTGTGAAACAACCCCCCCCCCCTGTTTTCTTATTATTCAGTAGTTCCCACCTCTTTTCTTTTTTTTAACACTTTCCCATTAACCCTATCATTCCTTGTAAGCATGTTGACTAGGGTTGTACATGGGTCGGGTTGGGTCGGTTTACTGGGGTTTTCCCAACCGACCCGACCTGGTCGGGTTACTTGAGGTGGAAACCAAAACCGACCCACTGATAGGCAAAACCGACCTAGTCGGTTTGAGTCGGGTTGGGTCGGTTTCGGTTTTGCTCATGTAGTCAAACGTTATTTTTGAAACTTGCCTCACCTTTGGTCCAGTGTTAACCTTACTAACCCCTGTTTCACTCAAAAAGCTTTTGTATTTCCCTAGTAAGAAAGCAACCTTAATCTGTTCAGACCTTTGTTAACCACCACCTGTCATTGAGTAGAGAATTTTTCATGTATGGGTTCCCAACTATCCTTTCTCAGAGCCTAGAGTAGCCATATGGGCATAAGTTTTGAATTGAGATGTTGGATTCAGACCCAGTGATCCTGATCTGCTATTAGAGGAAGCTGTAAGACTTCCTTTCCCACACCGAGCTCCAGAGTTTCCTTATTTCTGAAACTTCTAATCCCCTTCTGTGATTCCTTTATTTGGCTGAAAAAGAAGCTACTTTTGTCCATGTCAATGAAGTTAGGAACTACCGAACTAGTAGAAGACTAGTTAAGTAGGAAGACTAATTCGGTTCGGTTTTGGATCGGTTTTGATTTTTACACAATAAAACCGAAACCAACCCGATATTTCGGTTTATAAATTTGCCCAACCTGAAACCGACTGGTGCTGATGAAAACCCAGTAGACTCGGGTTGGGTCGGTCCGAGTTGGTCAGTTTGATCGGGTTGGGCCTTCTTATGAATAGCCCTAATGTTGACATGGAAAAAGAGACATAATGGACAATAAAGTAGAGGACTAGAGTCCTTTGGGTGTAGATAGGCATCCACCACAAGAACAATAAAGTTACAACAATCACAAGATGAGGGACTAGGTAAAGAAGCAAGGGAAGAAAATAACACTCATAATCACATATTCTTTTAAAGCATTGACTTCCATACTTCAAGAAGAAAAGCAGTCTTAAAAATCCAAATCTAGCAATAATGAATTGTTAAAGACTAAGAACACATGTTCTTTTACCAATATACTACTCTACTGTGATAAACCATAATAAAAAAAGTGTTAACTGGTACATTTGTAAGCAATACTATACTGAGGTAATGTACAGTAAACATGTGTTAAATAACACCTCTACAAACAATAATCCACCGAAACAAAGCACAAGAAGACAACAAACTAGTACAAACAAAACTCCAAACACAATATTCTGAGCAATGAATATGATAAGGAAATACATGACAAACTTGAATAAAAAACATGAAAAGGATAACAGCAGCTTGCCTAAAGGCTGGTGAATTGAACAATATAAATATTAGGGTTCATAGATCAAATGAAACTCTAGAAACTTAGGCTTCCTTTATACAATCAATAAATCAATAAATAATTGAAATACATAGTTTCATATCCTTTCTTCTCCAAAAAATAATGGTTAACTTTTCTCCTCTCGTAATGGCGACGAAATAGTGTTCTTCTCCGATGACAACAAAGAAAACCTCTTATTTCTACGGTGACGGTGGGAAAAACCTTCTTCTCTAGAGAGGATGCAAATAAGCAACGAATATTGGGGTTCCTTTGTGTATATCCACCGATTCACATTGAGATTTTAGCAAAAACTCTAGTGGAAATCAGTTCTCGCACGATACCAATGTGATATTACCAGGGGAATTTTGGTAAAGTGACACCTTCCATCAGCTGAGAGATAGGTGTCTTTCTCTAACGGTCAAAGTTGAGTAGTCTGTGTTCTGTACACCCGCCAATCACGTTCGGCCACGTCGAACTCAGCGTTGAATGCGTAACGGTTGAGTTTGGAGGTCCGTCAATCGATTCCATCCGGTTCAACCGGACACAAAAAAGACAAAACCCATTCATCTGTCTTCACGAGTTCGAACTCCCCCTCCCTCTTTTCATTTCGAAACCCTAGCACCTCCAAGCTCATCGGCAGCGAGGCACAAATCATCCGAATAAGTGTCTGTACATCTTCTTCCTCTCCCTCCTTTTCATATGCTCTATATACCCAGACTTGATACAACATATGTTGCATATGAACCCCCTCCTTCACTCTATAGTTTTCTGCTGCAGAAGAATGGTTAAATAAATTAAAGTAAGATCTGATGAGTTGTCTTGTTGTCCTCTTTATACTTGCCGGCTAAAGAATCAAACAACAAGCCCGCACCGATCCCGATGACCAAGTCGATCGTGTAGTGACCCCCTGGTCCCTAACAATCTCACCGCTTGTAACGCGTTCAAGGTGTCGAACAACCAAGCCAACTCCTGTTGTTGCATTCTTTGCATATCCAACGAAGTAATCACGGATCAGGTTACATGACCAGAGAAGAATAAGAAGAATGAGACGTTTCCCACCCAAAAATCCACCCCTGAACCCAAGAATCCTTGTGGTAGTGGCAGCCGGGAAATCCACCCATGAACCCAAGAAGACGTTTCCGTCGTCTTGTTGTCTCCGTTGTTGTGGCTCCGGTGGTCGCCAATGCTGAAGTCATTAACGCCATTGACAGCTTTCCTATCTCTACTCCGAAGCACGGTGTGGGTTCGACAACAGCTTACTCCTGCATCCATATCCGTTGTCCCTTTACCGGACACAGGGAATCACCATTGAAATGGGAGAGAGTGAATTAAATCATGTGGACTTCGTGGTGGAGAAATCAATTGCAGGGATGCCAGCAGAGCTGCTCGTCTGCAACCGAGAGTTCATATGTTGCATCATAAGTAGCTCGTCTGCAACCGAGACTTCATATGTTGCATCATAAGTCACTCTTCTTCATTGAGTTTGCAGGGAAGGAGGAGGAAGAGTAGCAGCTTACCTTTGATCACCGTTTGATCCTTTGCCGCCAGCGTCAGTTGGTGTTGGTTGCTGATGATCTAATAACAGGGCTAGGCTCGGAAGACATAGGGGGGTTTGAGTCGAGTTCTAACATGAGAGGAAAGGTCAAATCGGGTTTTGTGGCCGATTCAACTAGCTGAACCAGTAATAATGGAGAAAGTCTCCGTTAATTCACGGTTAAGACTGATGAGATGACGTGGTAGGTGCACAGAACGCGGACTCAAAGTCGAGGGGATCTTTGTCGCAAAAAAAGTACAGGTTACTCTGCTCGGGCCGCTCGGCACACAGCGCTCCTCATATCTCATATCTCACAGCGTGTCCCAGCCATACATTCGAAACATCTCCCGTACTTAATTTTGATGGGAGATGTTCCCAATGTACGGTAGGATGTGGCTGTAAGCAGATCCCTATTCATTCAATTTGCTTCTCTAGTTTGCTGAGCTTTCATTTTTCTTCGGGAGCAGGGAAACTAAATTAGTAAATATAGCCCTTTCAGATGGGTCCGGATCCCTTCCAGATAGTTAGATCGCTGCTTGCCTAATAGAAATTGTTCCAAAAGAAATCGGTATGAACTGTGAATATTAGGAGAAATGGCTGAAATTAGGAAACCAAGAAGGGAAGATGAGTCGCCTTCTCGAGATCAAGATCAGGGAGAAATATCTGGATACGGACAAGCAGCACATGATCATTAGACGAGAAAACAGGAGACAGATCTTGTCAAGATAAGGAACAGAAGAAGGAAGAGAAATCCCTTGCTCAAGGTTACGAGGAGAAGGTAACATCGAAGAAACCGCATGACTCATCGGACGAGGAAATCGGAGAAGCATTTTCTCGAGCTAAGAGAAGGAAGAGGGAAAAGATACTGCTTCCCCGCGTTTCTGAGGAGGCTGGAACAACCAGAAACGAAGAGCCACACGATTCATCGGAGACGCGTCAGAAATTCAACCGGCTACCTGAATATATGAAGAGGTGCTTTCTCTATACCTGTTTGTTTCCAAAAGATTACGAATTTGAAGAGAAAACTTTGCTCCAATTATGGGCTGCCGTAGACTTCTTCAGTCTCCGAGACAAGAGACCCAAGGATTTACCACCGCTCCCTACTGGCGCAACTCCGGAAGACGAAGGTAGATTTTGTTTTCGACAATTACTGTTTGGTTCGCTTTTTGAAAAGTCATCTCTTGCTTATCCAAACGGTGTGCCAAGGTACAAGGTCCACCATACTTTCTTTTGATCTACTGCAACAAGAGTACTGGAAAAATGATGAATACGCTCGGGTGAAAGACCGTAAGCCTACCGCCCAGACTTTGAATTCCTCGTTGTTGATGAGCGACGGTATTAATCCGACCGTCTTCGAAGACTTCTACCAATCCAAGAATCTCTGCACACTTCTTTTATTAAATGATGAGTACCGCCGGAGCCCCATCAAGCAAGTGCCTTCTGATCTATTTTTAAATCTAACTTCCTTGCTGCATTGGATTTGAGCAGAACATGCATCGTGGAGTTGCCGGATTCTATTGAAAATTTGAAGAATCTGCGTTACTTTAACGTCTCCGAGACTCCAATTAGAAACTTACCAGAATCGATTTGCAGTCTCACCCATCTACTAACACTCAAGGTCAGGAATTGCGAGCGCCTGGTCCATTTACCTGATGGTACATATAAGCTTACCAACCTTCGTCATCTTGATCTAAACGGAGCTCGTCAGCTGACTTCTATGCCTCCAGGGGTTGGTAAGTTAACTAAATTAGAAACGCTGACCACATTCATCGTCGGAGTGGAGGAAGGATTTCGAATTCAAGAATTGAAGGACCTAGATGAACTTCGAGGATCTCTCGCCCTTTCAAATCTTGATAATGTTAGAGAGGAGTCTGAAGCAACGGACGCAAGATTGAATTTCAAGAAATTTCTTAGAAAAGTAGAGTTTCAATGGAGTCGGTTAGAGTCTAAAGCAGAGAAGACCCTTGAAAAACTCCTACCACCTCACCAATTCCTTACAGAATTGAAAATATTATACTATGGTGGTGCCAAATTTCCTAGTTGGTTAGGGATGTCTAAATTCTCCAGTCTTGCAACTATTTCCCTAACCAATTGCAGAAAATGCACCCAACTGCCGACACTGGGAAAGCTTCCATGGCTAAAATCATTGAAGTTAGAAGAACTCCATGCAATAGAAGAAATAAATCATGATGTGTTCTGTGGTCATGGCGAGTTTGAGGGGTTCCCAAAATTGGAGTCACTAGAAATTGATGGCATGCGTAGATTGGAAAGATGGACGGGAATGGTAGAAGGTCAGATGCCTCTTCTACGCAGGCTTATCATCATCGACTGCCCAAGTCTCACAATTCTTCCGGAACTCTTATACCTCCACTCTCTCCAACATCTGAAAATTTCTCTTTGTTCTAAACTCTTATCTCTCCCAGAGGAAGGGCTCCCAAAACTTGTTCAATTGCTGATTATTATGGAGTGTCCTGAACTCGAGAACCGATGCAAGATGGGAGGCTACAATTGGCACAAGATAGAACACATCCCAAATATATGGATTGGTTACAGACGAATTTCTGGAACAAAACCACTGGAGCAATGCATAGCAGGTATGAATACTTCTACTTTGAGCGATTTTTTTCGGGTTGTTTCTGTGAAAAATCTTTACCATATTCGGGATTAGGACCAGCACTATAAGAATATATAATTACTGGATTAATATAAAATCTCAAACAAAATGTTACTGTTGTACAAAAAAAAAAACAAAGAAAACAAAATGATAGATGGGTGTAGTCACCCTATACTTAGTACAGGGCTATTCTCTAGTATTTATTTAAATAAAGGAACCTAAATGCCTTTTTATTTTCTATTTTCAGTATAAACATCACACGTCTTATTCATCTATTACATGAAATTTTCTTGTAAGTTTCTAATAAAAAATATTATATTAAGAAAACTAAAAAATACACCTCAAGTATATTTGCATAAATCCATACTAACATAAACACATCTTGTAAATTACCATTTAACAATGCGTTCTTCACAACACTCAATTTGCTCTCTCTATTTCTACTATCCATACCTGGTCTTTTCCCCCTTTTTTTTCTGAATGATACGTTACTTTCATATTGTAATTCTGAGCAGATTTGAACGAATTTTAGCCTAAAAATGCACCTTTGTTTTGGCCTTTTGAGTTTCAAAAATAATAGATAAAAACCTATTTGATACACAAGCGGATGTGGCCAAAAGGTAAGACAATTACGATAGACTTCAAAAGACTTCCCTAGCTATACCACATCCAAAGATTATTTCTAGTGCTGCAAATAGATCGGATTGAATTGGATATAGATTCGATTCATTTATATTTGAATTCAAATTGGATTGTATCCATTGGATATCTAGCAAATTCATATTGAATTCAGATTATAAACAGATATCCATTGGATATCTAAAAATAATCAAAGTTTTATATTTTATTAATAAAATGTAGTAAAATGACTTTAATATTATATTTTATGAATAAAATGAACTAAAAATTACATGTGTATAACTTGAACCCAAGGTTCAAAGTATTGATACGTATCGTGCCAATGGCTTCCCAATATGCTCTTCTAGGAGTTGTATCGGGTCAGACCATGGTTCAGAGGGTAGCCGGGCCTTAAACCGACCCCTCTGAGGGGGTTTTGAAAAATAAATAAATAAAACTTTAAAAAAAAATATCGATACAAGCCGATAGGGCATATCGGCCTATGTCGATACTTTGAACCTTGCTTGAACCTATGACAATTTAATGAAAATATAACATTCAAACCAATTTTACCAATAACTATAATATAAATTTTAAGTATATATAAGCATTCCCTATAATTTAATCGAATTTAATCGAATTTGGATAATCGGATAGCATTTGCAGCCCTACTCATTTCTTTGGATTCAACAGATCTCAACAGTATAAAGCGTGTAGAGGGTTCGACACCAACAAGAATTGAAGGGATGTTTCTGACAACAGCAAAGGGGTCAGGCTCCTAAACTGGCAAAGATCCATGCTTGCAAATTTTAGCATTTATTATTAGAAACAGATACAGTATTACAGTTATATATAGGAGACTAAGGCTGCATTTGGCATTCTTAAATTATCTCTTTTTTACAGTTCAAATGCCCCTTTAGAACACTGAGTTTTTAACAGTAAAACGAGATAAATCCTTAAAATAAGACAGCCTCACCACGACTCAACTTTCTGCTTGAGGCATTTGTTACATATTGATCAACTTATTTATTTACTTATTTTTCAGGGTACAAATTACGAAGGCTGAATTCGTACATCATTCAGACGATGATGATTATGGATGGAGAAAATATTCTGAGAAAAACATACCTCTGTCAAAATTTCCCAGGTAAATGAAATCTACCAGACAACCCTTCTCAATGATTAAATTGCCTACAAAATGAAAGGAAACTAATTTGGAAAACCAAACCAGAAACTTTTTTGGTTTTTCCAACACAGATGCTGATTCAAGCAACCAATGGCACCACCAGACTGACCCAAAAGTTCCTTGTGTTTCATGTTTTACCAGTCAACTGTTCACCTATTTTAAATTGCATTTGATTCTTGAATTAAAGGGGGCTTGTTAACGGTGTGATTTTGGGTGTCAAAAGGGCTTTTTGTCAACACAAGGTGGTGTTTTGGATGTTTAGTAGATTTCAACTTTGATTAGAGAAAAACGAGATATTTTGTGCTGGGTACCCTATTTAATACAAAAAATCCACCTGACCCCTTTAAAATAGTTAATTCTCCAAATAAAAATATTGGTAGAGCAAAAGTGGTTAATATTGGGCTATTGGCGTAAGATCTTACCATGTTGAGATTCCACCGACCACTGGGTCAGCTTGTTGATCTGTGATTTTACAATTAAAATTATTTACAATATTAAGAACTAGGTGAACAGTTGATTATGATATCAATGGTTGATTGAAAGGCTAACTGTTGATTTGCCACCATCAAATAGGAAAATAATTCATTGTTGGTTTGGTTTTAAATTTTGTATTTTATTTCCTTCTTAATTATTCTTTATTATAATTAATTTTTTAATATTAATAATATAAAATATAAGTGAATTTTTGTATTTTTTATATTTTTTGTCTTTTAATTTTTCTAATTTTTTATTATTCAATTCTGATATCAATGAGTAACATATTTATCAAAAAGGTTGAAATATTGGCCCGTCACTACATAGGAAAATAATTTCATTTTTTAAGTTGGTTTTATATTTTATATTTCATTTTCAACATTAATACAAGTAATTATTATTTATCACACTTATTTTTCTTTAATAGGTTAATTTAAAATGCTATAGATGTGCCTATTCCTTCTACATTTTTTTATTTTTTGTAAGTTTTATATTTATTTCTATTTTTAATATTTTATTATTTAACTATGACACCATGGGTTAACCCCATTCAACTCGACAAATTTATTGGTGAGAAAAAATGATTTAAATATAAGATTCAATAAAAAAAAATGGGAGTTAATATCTTAAATATAAGACTTCAGAGAATTGGATAAGGAGAAATATAATAATTTTCTTTTACCAAGAAATAAATAAATATTAATAATTTCAATTACATTTTTTACCCTCACAATTAGAGAATGACCAAATTAAAAATAGAATATTTTAATCAAAAATAAGATTCAATAAAAGATGATAAGAGTTAATACTTTAATTAAAAGAATTAACGTATCCAAAACATATCCAGTTACACAAATTAAGGAGTGAAATCATCTGATCATTGATTCATTGCCAGCCTCTAGGCTTAGACTTAAAGCAGTTGCTAAATGAATGGGTGCCAGCCCGTGACAGGAAAGGGCCCAGCGGCAGCGACTGGTTTGGCCTATTCTGAAATTATTAAAATTGAATGTGCCAAGTTGGCACTTTCTGCCATGGTTTTTAAAAACGAACCAATGACCGAATTGGTCAGGGGTTCGGTTACTGGTTCGAACGGTTAACTGGCCGGTGTAGTGGTTTGTTGACCAAAATCAACGGTTTTGGGGAAAAAACGGTTTTGGGGGAAAACGGAACTGGTCAAGTGACAGGTTTTCAGTTTTTCCGGTCTGACTGTCCAGTCCAATCCAGTTTTGTTTTTGCTTTAAGTATTTGTGAAAATTTTTTTTTTGAAAATTTCTAATTTTAAAATTGAACAAAATAATATAAATAGCCAATCATCTTTAAGACTTTTATCTCCCCTTATTAACTCACTATAAACTTTTTTTCATCTTTCTCATTAACTCCTTTTATTATTTTTTCTCATTAATTATGAAATTAACTCTTTTATTCAATAACTCATGCCACTAATTCTCTCTCTTCTCCATTAGTCCATTAATTTATTAACTTTGTATATATCTACATTAAATGTATTTCAATTAATTTGCATTTAAAAAATAGTTAATTTTTCAGTTAATTAATCAATTAATTTGAATTTCAAATTAAATATTATTTACTTCACTCAACAAATAAAACCAATGTTTTAAAAATTGACTTAGAGGCTAAATAGTTCTTTCCTCTACATAAGTTTCAACGACTCATCTATATATATATACACTAACAAGAAGTTGAAAGCATTGAATAAAACATCACAAAAATTATAATCATTTTGAATTCCATTTAAAAATAATTAAAATTAATTAATCATAGAAAAAATAATTTAGCAAATTGCTTAAATAAAATAAATATTATTATTATTGATAAAAATATTCTTACTAATATGATAAAAAATTAATTAATAAAAAGCACTAATATAAATTTAAAACTAATATTCATTTAAAATTAATATAAATAAATACAAAATTATCTAACAATTATTAGTTTTTATAATTATTTTTTACTAATTTAAAGGCAATTTAAATTCCAATAAAAATAAAATATTAATATAATTAATTAAATTTAATAAGGATTAATAAAAGCAAAATAATAAAAATTTGTTAATTTTAAATATAGTTTAATTAATATAACATCAATTTAAATTCCATTTAAAAATAGAAAAATTTATAAAAACCTCCTTGGGTTTTCTAACAATCCTATGAACCTCCCTTCAAATGTAAATTTACTAAAATACCTTGGAATAAAAAAAAAGATTTGCTTCCTTTTACATCAGTTCTACCTTTTAACCTTATTTCATCTAAGGCAAAAAAGGGAGGTTTTTGTTAGGGCCAAAACACAAGGGTGATTTTAGAATTTTTATAAAAGGCTTTTTTATAATTTTATCTAAAAAATAATATGAAAATAATAACAAACCAATAAATTTTAAAAAAACATCACTAAGATGTCAAAGATAAAAACAATTTTATGTAGAGCATAGTAAATTGGTCACTCTCACTAAAGTTTAACTTGGATTGTGATAAACTAAATATAACCCAAAAATAATGTTTGAATTAGACATAGATGGATCGACGACACCGCTTAATTGGAAATGTCATAGAACTCCTCCCTTAATTTTATTAAGCCCGTGCATAGCATGGATCCCAACTACTAAAGGATAAAAGATCTTTAATCCTAAAATGCTAAATTTGTTCTAAATTTGCTCTCTGCCTGATTTTTTTTTTTTTTCCATTTATCATTTAGGAGGTACTACAGGTGCATTCAGGGAACCTCTAAAGGATGCTCTGCAAGGAAGCATGTTCAACAACTGGACGATGATCCAAACATGTCTAGGGTAATCTACTTTGGGCATCATACATGTGTAATGTCATGCAGTCTATCATCTACGCATACGGCCAAGTAGCATGAATTAGTGAGCAAGGTGCTTGAATCAGAGGGCTCTCAGTCGGATATTGAACGGTGCTTGAATCAACCCAACTGCTAGCTTAATTAGCCTTCATCTTCAATTTGAAGCCGATGACGATCACAAATCAGAAAAGAATCTGAAGTACAACAACAGCATTTCCAACATGTGTCTTTGTATGCTCATGTAGTTATCGTTCTCGCTTGTCTGAGTGGGAAAGAAACACACGTTTTAGTCCGAGAATATATCATCATTAGCCCAAACAGGTCATGAGCTGCCTACACAAATCTTGACTTCCACAGCGTCGTGTTCGGTTCTTGGCTTCGGAACACAATGGTATGATTCAAGAAAATGGACCAAGTTGATAACATTAAATATGGTTTTGAATCACGCATTGCAAGAAATGTTATCAGTGTTTCGCTTTGCCCCAAGCAATCGTACCAGGTAAGCACCGCTCACAGGGAATATTCTTCAGTAACCGTCCTGTGATTTGTTGTAATGACTTGCATCAAGCACGAGTAGAGACGGGTATCGTAATGACCTGCCACATCCTTCGTATGAGAGTCGAGCTGTAATTCTTTCTCTTTTCTTTTTCGTTTTTTTTTTTTTTTTGGCAGAAAGGGTGCCGTTAATGGTTATGGTTGTGCTTCAAAACATGTGATGGGCTTACTCATGCTTGCTCCATGGAACCATATTTTCTGGTTGAGAATACAATGCCTTGTTGATTCTAGAACCACCACAAACTGAACAAAATGCTTGATTTTGACATATTCGGTTCCAGAACCGGCTGAAACGACCGAAAACGCCCTCCATCTGGCACTGCCTGGACATATATTTTAACAAAAGACTGAAATCAGAGGTATTCTAAGAACATTCATCGAGTATAAATCTGAAACTATATGCTCTACAAAAGAAAAAAGAAGATTCTTGACGGAGGGAAGCAATTTGCATAAAGGATGAGTTTAATGTCCTAGAGTGAGATGAACGTGACTTTGAGGCCTCCAGCCTTCTAGGTTGAAAGAAACCAGATGGCAGTATTAAGTTGGGTACAAGTTGGATGTTTAAACGGTTCAAGTTGTATTTAGTGGCAAAGGAATTCTGTCCATGAGGAGGATGGGTTTATGTTGAGGCTGAGACTAATCATGATTCATGAAAGCAACAACCATCGCAGTGACACTTCATAATCTTAATGGAAAATTAAATTCTTTAAATAGCAGGTTTTGATCTTTGGAATCTCTAAGATATTGTTTTATTTCTGCGGATTTGTTTCGGGATTTTGCAGTCATCAAATCATGTTTGGAATTGCCATCCTTGGATCTACTTCCGAGCTGGAATTCATTCATTGAGATTGGTTGTAGAAGATTCTAGCCATGTCTGAAGTCCGGTTTCGTCTGGCTCCATTTTCTCTGAAAGGAAGGGGTTTTTTTCTCTCACTTGGAAGTATTGGACTAGGACAATCAGCATATAGCTACGAACTTTTCATTAGAGGCTTCATTCGGTCTTCAAGAATTGAAAAATATTCCTGGTAGATCAGCATCAGAAAGGTTCAAAGTCGCTAAGTTTTCAAATTTGAGTCATCAGAGGATGAATCTTCAACTTTGAAAGGATCTTGCGAGCCCATTTGTTACACACCTCAGTATCCCATGGCAGATAACAGATTCAGCAATTGCATTCCAGGTAATACACAAAGCTGCAGCAGAAATAAGCCAGGATACTCGGAAGATGTTACGGGTTTGACTCGTTAGAGAATTAAGTTTCAATTTTGCAGAAATTTATTATGCAGTAAACTTCAAAACTTAATGTTTATAACGATTCCCATAACTACCATCTATATCAATTTTCATAAATAAAATCACAACTTAATGTTTTCAGTTAAGTTTTAAAGTATCGACATGTATCGGCTGAAACGTATCGTTCCATGACCTTTTCGATACGCCTCTACAGTGGGTGTATCGGGGTTCTGACCGGTTCAAGGAATGGAGGAGCCCTAACCCCCCCCCNGAACCGGCTTTGAAAAAAAAATAAAAAAAACAGTATCGATATTGTCGGATATGCCCCTACCGGCGTATCGGGCGTATCGATATTTTGAACCTTGTTTTCAGTAACCTCTGAATTGTCACATTTAGGCCACGTTTGGTTCACAGGAATAAAGATTTGGAATCGGAATCGAAATGGGCTATTCCGATTCCAACTGTTTGGTTGGGCAGAATCAGAATCCCATTTCTATTTCTGCTGAAATGGCATTACCCCAATGGCCATTCCCTGCCCCTCCCCCAATGGCCATTCCAATTCTGATTCCGATTCCAATTCGATTCCAACTGCAAACCAAACGGATCCTTATTAGTTTTAGTAGAATTGAAGTCGTAAATGTGTCTTGGTTTGAATAGGAAATTTCAATTCTTTTAGAGGTTTAGATACAAGTAGGAGTTTAGAGTCCAAGAACAAGTTGGAAGTTGTTGCTTTTTAGCGTACAAAAGAGTGATCGTCTTTGTAAAGAGAATTCTATTTTATTATTCTTTTTCTACTGAATAATTTAAAAATTATTTTCTTTTCCCACCACAGTCAACAGCTATAGTAGAAATTTCAATTCTTTTTTTTTTTTTGCTTGATAATAATTGCTGTGGTGTTAAGAGTTTTCTGCTTTATAAAGCCACCTGAACCAAATCAAGATAGTTATAGCAGATCAACTGACATGAACCAAGATGGCATGGTATGAAGCCTTATTTATTAGTAATAAATCATGAAAATTTGCCAGTAATTTTCATGATTTATTAGCAGTAATTTCAATCCTTTAGGATGCACCCCACAATGTCTCACAACACATCCTCGCCGTGTATTGGAGATGTTCCCAATACAGGCGAGGATGTGCTGTGGGACATTGTGGGGTGCCCCACTGTGGGGCACAGATGTGAACCATCTAAAAGAACGGATCTGCCCCACACCTGGTGCCTCACAGGCACCTCACATGCACATCCTATTATGCATTAGGAACATCTCCCATACTTATTAATTATTATTCATGGGAGATGTTCTCAATGCACGGTGATGTGCCTGTGACTATGTGAGGCGCCCATTTGTGATGAGCAGATCCCGTCACGAAGGCAAGGTGGTTGGGTGTTTGAGATTTAGGTGTTTGTAAATATATTTATACATTTTAGGATGCAATTTATTTCGTTCATGGACAATATATATATATGATTATTTATCACACAATACACACCCCTTTTACTTAAAGAAAATAATATTATTAATTAATTTATGGAAAAATCTATGATGCAGGACATGGCATTGAAAGAGATTTGCCTAATCAAAACTGATCCATGAATTTTGATAAATAACTCCTGATTGGCTATCATGTTTATAATTCCAATTGTTTGGTCAGACATTTTTCAAATATCATATCTTTTCCATATCAGAGTCGAACCCATGATATTTATCAAAATTCACAGTTGGTATCATATCATTTTTTATTATCCAATATTTACAAAATTGAAGACGTACAGTATCTTGCACTCATACATACCCATACATTGGGTTTGGGTCAATAGCATATATGAATCTATTCACTCTAAATACTAATTACTGGACTTGTGTGAAATACAAAGTTACAAACTAGGAGATTTGAAGCATATAATCACCTATTGCTTTCAACTCCTTCACTCTTCCTATCGTTTGCATGCATCTTCAGAGTGAAGTACAAAATCACGTATTGCTTGAATATACTTCAATCTTCCTATAATTTACATGCATCTTCAGATGCAGATTGAGATGGCTACCCAAAGGTAAATCACTCGAAAGGGATGATTTGGTTTATTTTAGTAATAATTTGATAGCCTGCTTGTCTCAAAAGCAACCAAATGTCTTTGAGACGAGCAGGAATCACTGAAAACTACTAACAATTCTCTACTAAGGATCGTTCTCCAAGGAAATTGGTACTGTGGTTCACAAGTGGCTGATGCTTTACTGCAGTAATTCTAGTGAAACTGCTAATCCACCATTCCATAACCATAAAAAGCACATTGCGATAGATGTTCAGTAGCAAGGGTCTCAGATCAGAGTATTAGCCATTTGCTCTAGGGCTGTCAATGCGTCAGTTCTGCCCAATTGCCTGAACGGCTGTCCCAATTAATAATTGGGTTGGTTCCGGTTCTTTCTTGTCCCAAACCAATTATTTTATTAACTATATAATGTTTTTCTAGTTTAATTATAATTTTTATTATATTTCATGTCTGAAGTGGTAAGTTTGATAGATAATATATGACAATATCAGCTAAAAATATTTAATTTATTAACATATAAACAATTTAGTATTCTACTATCATTTTTATTAAGATTATATTATCAAAATTTACATTTTAAGTTATTACTTAAATAAATAAATAAATATAGTTTTCAGAATAATTGGGTCTATCGTGTAAACTCAATAGGGCCTGACTATTAATCTGGATGGTTCGGGGTCCATTATTTTGTCCCGATTCTACCTAGAACCGACCCAGACCCAACCCATTGACAGCCCTAACTTGTTCTATTTCTTTAAAAGTAAAACGTATTAAGAAAATGAACATCACTGGGATTCCCACATTTAAGGGGAGGGAAGGTGCATCATCTGCAGTTTTAAAAAACAGCCATTCTCATTCAATCTCTCATTGAAAAGCTTGAGAGTCAAACAAAATAGAAATTACAGTCTTTGATGCCATCTGCATGGAGAATATAATCATAGGACAGTGGAGATACATGAACTCAAATTCAGGTTAAGATCATTCAAGATGCATCACTGAGATGTTCATTTTGTGCCATTGTCTTTTCCCTGCAAGTACACAACTGTAGACTAAATTTGTTTTTGTGCCGTTGTCTTTTCCCTTGCAAAACCAAGCAAGGGGTGATCATTTGTTCAGTTGTTCATTTGCAGTTTAAATCAATCAAAGTCTAATTTATTGACAAGAACTTAATGACTTGTTATCAAAATCATAATGAAGGGGAGAGCACCTTACATGGTGAAGATGATCAACAGGTATCACGGCCTCAGGCCAAATCAACAGGAAAGGCAGCACCAACAGTAGTGTGAGTCGCAACTCTCCAAGGGCAGAAGATGAAAGAGATGAATATATAATGGTCAAATTACCAATGACAGGATGAGTGATCATTGAGCTATCAGCACATAGACTTATGATGCTTTCATCAAAACATGCTTTTCTATAATCCAACAGCTTGGGTCACCAAAACTCGGGAGATATTGATGCCTGAAGGACCAATGAGCACAGTGGGTACCTAAGGGAGATGAAAAGGATTCTTAGATCCTGCTGAAAAAGAGGTTAAGTTCTTAAAAGAGGAAGAAACCAGGACAATGGAGCCAGTCAAAAAAACAACAGAGAGTTATGGCAAGGTCTTCTGAAGAAAAAGGAAATCTTCATCAACTTCAGCTATTTATCACAATTAATAATTTACCATTGTAACCAAATCCTTTCAAATTAACTCCAGATCTAATAATTTACCAATTACCTTTTCAGTCAGTAATTATTCATCTAGCCATTATCACAACCAACTAAACATTTTTATACTCAAAACCTATATTATGAGCTCTTGGCTTATCCATGACTATCTTCCAAGAACCACTCAATGGAGAGTTGAGAACTTGATTACAACTCCAAGACCAATAAGACATATAAGTGCAAAAGAAAGCCTTCACATGTCATGATGTTACAGGTAAAAAATTCAGGCCCAAGGTCATTACCGTGCCACTGTGTGACAGAGGATTGTGGTGGTGAAATTTGCTATAATTTGGTATATGACAGAGAAGTTTCTTGATGAAACTTGCTATGCATAAAGTGTGATATGGCAAGGTGGCTCAAGATAGACTAAGGTCATCCAAAGTTGCCGCCTTGCAGGGAATGTTGATAAAGAGGAGTGGTTGCAGAACAGACCTTGGAGAAGAATGGAGTCTTGGAGTTTGAGAGAATCAACCAAGATATCAAGGCAGCAACAGGGTCTAGACACTTCAATTCCAGCCCAGGCCCAAGATCCAGCTCGATTGCTACTGGGTTGTTATTCTTGTTTTTTTTTTTTTTTTTGATATCTCCTGAAGGGCTACACAACCGGGGGGTAGCCCATCCCCCAACCCATAACCCCGTCAACCCAGGTGCATGCGGGTTGTGGGATTTGATCCCAAGTCTCTGCTACGATCAGCAGGAGACCTTACCAACCAGCTGGTTGGCACCTTGCCAACCCAGGGTTGTGGAAATGGATGTATGAAGTAGCCATTCAAAATGAAGGAGGAATATCAGATAATTTCCCTCCTTCCCTCCCTCCTTACCATGCCAGTGTGATATGACATAGGATTGTGGTGGTGAAATCTGTCATAATTTGGCATATGGCAGAGAACTTTCTTGATTAAACTTGCTATGCATAAAGTGTGATGTGGGTGGCTCAAGATAGACTGAGGTCATCCAAAGTTGCAGCCTTGCAGGGGATGTTGATTAAGAGAAGTGGTTGCAGAACAGACCTTGGAGAAGAATGGGGTCTTGGGGTTAGAGAGAACCAATGATAGCTCTAAGGATTCGATGTGATAGAACCCAGATATCAATGGAGCAACAGGACCTAGACACTTCAATTCCAGCCCAGGCCCAAGATCCAGCTCGATTGCTAACCCACAGAGATGTTCCCTACAAACCACCTCTTAAATTAGTTACTGGGTTGTTATTCTTGTTGGAAATGGATGTATGAGGCTACAAGTAGCCATTCAAAATGGAGGAATATCAGAGAATTTCCCTCCTTACCATGCCAGTGTGATATGAAATAATATTTTTTGTGATAAAAGAAAATCCATTAAAATAAAATTAAAAAAAAAAAACAGATTACAAACAGCTTAACAGGTGTTAAGATAACACCAGACCCAAAAAACAGCAAAGCAATTAAACAATACAACTCAAATAAAGCAGAAAGACCCCCCCCCCCAAACCAAGATGCAATCTTCAACTTCCAATGCTTCATCTTTTTCATCCCCATCCTCATTCCACGCCTCTCCACCTTCAATGACAACCGACTTCTTGAGACTTATCTTACTCTTTTCAAAGGCTTAGAAAGCCCTTCTAGCAAAATCCACTCCGCCTAAGAAAAATAGACCTAAACTCTTTCCAATCCTAACAACCCTTTCTTCCAAACTCTCAATCTCCATCCTTCCTCCTTTCTCCACCACCCTGACGGTCGATGAATCATTTAAAGTCTTCTTGCTCTCTTGATCCCCCATAGGCTCCTTTTCTTCCTCCTCCAACCTAGTCACCATGTCGTCCTTAGGATCACAACACTGAAGCAACTCCTATCTAGTTTGAGTCTCGATACCCCCTTTCTCATCAAGTTTCTTTTTTAGGCCTATGACCCTAGAACATCTCTTCCTATAAACTTTCTAAAACTTGTTTGTAGACCCAGTGCCAATCAGACCATCCTTTAGTCTTGAGAAAATTTTTGAAACATGAACAATTTGGAACTTACTCAGGTCTCTAACCTTCGTCATCATCCAGGGCCCATCTACATCCCCTTCCTTGTTCACTAGACTTCTCCGTCATAAGTCCACTCCAAGTCTGCTGACTTGGACATAAATAATAAATTCTTAACAGATTATCAGAAATGTCAGCACTACCACTCTCTTCTTCTTTACCCTCCTCTCCTAAATTGTAGACCTCTGTATTCCTGACTTCACTCCCTTCAATACCCTCCCCTTCTTCCCTCCTCCTTATTGTGCATTGTCCCCCTCTTACCTCTCCCCTCTCTTCTTCCCTTAAACTTGCTTTCTTTCCTTCCAATCAGAAGAAGCCAATTCATTCCACTGCATAGGATCAAAAGGGACTCTAACTACAAAAAGACCCAAATCTAATATTCATACCTGGTTGGCTTGCTGGCTTTATTCCAGTCCTCTCCGTCCTTCTGACTACCTTCACCCCTTGCAAGAAGCTGGCAATGCCATCCCCAATAAACAGCTGCCTCTTGGAGCTAGACTGAGCCACCTCACAGGGCCAGAAAAAAGTGCTATAAGTTTACCTTCTCCATCTCTCACCACTCCTCCAATTCCAGAAGTGCCTGGATTACCTCGGCTACTCCCATCAAAATTCAGTTTAATAAAACCTTCAATTGGTGGTATCCAGACCACCTCCACTCTGTCCTTTCTCATGGAGCTTTTAGCAAATTGTCTATGACTCTTTTTTTTATATAGAAAATTGTCTATAACTCTTTTTTTTTGTAAAAAATTGTCGATGACTCATTTTTTGGGTAGAAAACTGTCTAAGACTCTTCTTTTTTGTAAGAAAGCTGTTTATGACTCTATGTCTATAATCTATACGTATCTTTTTTTGAAAGAAAATTGCCTATGACATGACTCTAACTCTATGTGACTGTATTGCATTAATTGCTTGCAGCTCCCTTGAAGTCTTGAACTTAATGTTGATTGCTGAGTACTTGAGAACTTGAGATGTTTTTATTTGATTATTTCATATTTCTGTTGTTATTGGACATGTTAATAGGTTGTTTGCTAATCATTTAATTTAATTTGAGTTTAGGTTATATTTTTTAATTATATCCTTCAATTTTCTCATTTTTTCTGATTTTTCAAAACACTGTGCACCTTGCACCTCAGGCACAAAATGGCCCTTGCGCCTTTTGCTTTTAAAACACTGCCCAAGCCTTTTGTTATTCCAAGAGAAAGTTGCCCATTTTTGTATAACTTCTAACATCAACTAAACTAACCACTCCCAGCTTGCCACATAAAGCATCTAATTCCAACTGTTCATCTTCTTTTCGAGCTTCCTTCCATAGAGCAGCTTCTATGGAGGTTGCCAACCAAGTTGAATAAAACATCCCTTCTGCAAAAATTTCGATCCTTCTGGGAACATCCTCAGGCTTCACTCCATTTAACAACAAGGCCACCAAGTGTAGATACCCCCAAAAAACACCATCCAAATGTCCACCACAAATTGCAGAAATTGATTCTGCTATCAAGTGACCAAGGTTCAAATCTTGCTATAGCTAAAATTTGAGGTTTGCAGTGTGCTTCTGGGCTCAGTTGCAAGACTGAATATTAAATTGTCTCTGTATTCTATTGATGGTAGCCGAGGCTGCCCTTGTTTCTGTACTCTGTTCTTACTCTAAGTAATAAAATTTGATGTTGATTACTGATCAAAAAAAAAAGGCAGGCCAATCACCCAAACTATTACATCATCTTCTATTAATAGATTCTTCGAGTTGGACATAGGACACAATCTGAAAATTGTAAGAGGTCCATTTTCCGATTGAATACCCACACTATAATTTTTTTTATCAGTAAGCATGAATTTTATTTAAGTTTCAAATTGGAAATAGTTTATACAACTTGGTGATGGGAGTGATGATCCCATTTAATCACTCTTCTCTGTCCCTCATTACTAAGCAGCCTAAAATAATTGTTGTCTCAATGCCCCTTCGCTAAATAATCAGCTAACCCATTTGCACTCCTTCGGATCCATTTAAATTCAGCCTTAACCTCCTTTGCAATCTTTTCCACTTCCCTAATCACATGTTTAAACATCCACAGGGTATGGCAGCCCAGGAAATGACCACTTTTGAGTCCCCTTCCACTTCAATTTCTATTTTCTCTTCTACAAGATCAAGCAAAGCCTTGCAACCTTCAAAAGGGGGTGAGACGTGAGAATAAAGGTTCCCTATAACCCTTTTTTTTTTGATAATTTTCAACCCAAGGTTCCCTTTAACTTCAACCTGTTTTTTTTTTTTTTTGCTACAAGCTTCAACCTGGTTATTAAGATGTCAGCTAATTTTCTTTGCAGTATTGACAGCCATTGTACCTCCCTATGGATTTTGCCACTGTCAAAGTGAGATTTAGTCCTTGATAGTTCTTCTCATTTCAATCCAAGGTTCCCTTTAACTTCAACCTGGTTATTCTTTTTTTTTTATACAAACTTCAACCTGGTTAAGACGTCAGCTAATTTTCTTTGCAGTATTTACAGCCATTGTACATCCCTATGGATTTTGCCACTGTCAAAGTGGGATTTCATCCTTGATAGTTCTCATTTCGCCTTCTACCGCATTTCTAGGATCCACAACCCAATCCTTCATATGTTCAAGAAACTACTGCAAGGCCTTGCAAACCTCCTTCCATCCTTGACCCCCTTATCCTTTAGGGAAAATTGCTAGCTGTTTTCTCCCATTGCCAAAAAATCTTGTAAAGTGCAATGAAATAGCCCTTCTTATTTCTCTTCCTTTCTGCAAAATACCTTCTTCCACCTTCTGTCTTAGAGCTTTTCCATACAAAAATCCTATGAGTTGAAACTGCTCCGCAGATAAAATCCTTAAACCAAACAATAACACATCCTACTAACAAAGCCATCGCCATCTTCATTTCCTTGATTTTCATTCACACTCAGCTTCCCTGTGATTCTCATTTCTTCAAGCAAAAAATCTTTCTTTTTTCTGGGGCCAGGGAGTTATCAATATACAAGGTTTTGCAAATTGCAAATCTCAACATAACACCACAAAGTTTAAGCTTATCAATGGGAAAAAGCAGGGAAGCAGAAAGAATCCAGTCATTGGATATGCCACAAAAACTTTATCATGACATTAATCAAGGAGAAACAGTTTTTATAAATAATAACAATCAAAAAAGCTTACCCAATCAAACCCCATATAATTAAGCAATTTACCAGCACGTTAAAATGTTTCTAATGTCATTGAATTAGATAAAAGATGTTGATTCATGAGTTGGCAATTTGACTGGAAGATTGTGGGATTAGGGAGCTCACCATTACAAAGCCTGGAAATTTTCCTACGTGTAACTCCTCCTGTCTGGTAATGACCTCCTATCGCTTCTTGGGAAATCCAATCTCCTCACTGATCTTGCACCACCATTGTCCCCTCTATGGCATTCTGATCCTCGAAAAAATTTGGAAACCTTGTCCTGCATTCTATTTGAGTATCTTCCTACAGCGCCTTGTCGAACAGAAGTTCTAAGAGGCCTCTGGCGTAAAGTTGGTTCACTTTTGTCTTTATTCTCCTCTTCCTCTTCATCATCATCCTCATCACTGTCATCCTCAACCTCAGAATCAGACAATTCAAACGATTCCTCATCTTCATCTTCCTCACCTTCATCCTCATCTTCTTTCTTGGTAGCTTGAGTGATATTTGGTTCTTTGGAACTGGCATTTGGTGCACCAGCAGATTTTCTCTGTTCCTTCTCCTTGTTCATGAGATGGATATACTGATATCTCATACCCATCAACGGATGCTTCTCCACCAAGAGGTCCCTCTTGTAAGCCTCCCTAAGAACCACAGTATGAGTCCTAATCTTATTGGAGAGATAAAAAATTCCTGGGTGCTGCATCAATGCCCTCTTAAACCTCGACCGAAGGCCTAAGTACTCACCAAGGCAGAGAATGTTATCTCTCTCAGTCTTCTTCGAAATAAGAATATGAAGTAGCTCGTGCAATACTGCAACTGTCCACTTCTCGGCCTGATCACTCTTGGGAGCGAGATGCAAAGCATTCTCATAAGGAGAAATGTAAGGCAAATTCTGCCATTCATCGACCCACTTCTTCACCTTCTTCTCCATGTCGAAACCTCTGGAGAACTGCAGAGGGAATGCAAGCGGCATTCCTTTCTTGTAAGGCGGGTCTCCTTCGGCCATTGCCTTCTTCTCCATGGCCGAGACTGCAAGTTCATTGGTCCAACAAACAAGTTCTAGAGCTAGAGTTTCCGAACCATTACCAGAACCAATAGTGTCCGTTATAGTACTCACCTGGAAGTAGTCCGGGTAGTCGGGGAGAAGGGTTCGAACGTAGTCGTGGGGAAGACCTAGGTCCCACCTCAGCCTGTCAATGATGTGCAAAGGAAGCTTATTGACTCTGGTGAGCATAAGCAGCTTAAGAAGTCTATCGGCGGCATCTTGCCGGTGGTCGAAGCTGTCGTAGATGAGTTTTTCTTCCTCATCGAGACGGAGCACTTCAGGGGTGAGGCGGACGTGGGGGCGAACGCCGGCGCCGCCCGGGAAGAATTCTTCGAAGACGGAGGGGTATCGACGGATAAATTCGATGGCGCGGGTGGGGAGGAGGAGGCGATCTTTGTTCTCGGCGGCGACGGAGACGGAGAGGGATTTGGAGGGCTCGGATTTGATGAAGTTCTTGAGGGCGATCATTGGTCGTAGATGCTTCTCCTTCTCAACGGCGTGGTCAAGGCCTCGGTCTCTCACCCATTTGATTTTTGCGTCCACGAAGGTCCTGCTGCTCGGCCATAGTTGCCTGGGGCGCCGGCGCACGAGGGACAGGGAGAAAACGAGCATGGTTGCAAGTAAGTCTGGGGTTTGGAGACAAATGGAGTTATGGAGGGTTTAAGCAGGGTTCGGTGAAGTTGCAGAGGATTCGGAATCGGATGTAGTTTACCTGTTTGATTATTGGGTCGGACCGTCGGAGCAGAACGGGGCAAGTGAGACTTTTTTTGATAGAGTAAATTCCAAAGACTCTTCCGTATTATGGGGATCAGTGACAAAGAATCCTATACATTATTTACGACAAATACCCTTAGCCGTTAGACAAAGTTCCGTCAGTTAACATCCGATGAGAAAAAAAGGGTAACTTGGGTATATATAGGAAATGGTGTAAGGAAGGAGACTTGAGAATTCACAAAATGAAATCTTTGGGTTCTTTTCCTTTCATTTTCTAGGCGTGCCCAACCGAACCGTGGGTGATTTTATAGACCGAACCGAACTGTTCGGTTTTTCAATTTAACCAAACCGAAACTGAACCGATGCAACCGGTTAACCGGTCGACCAATTAACAAGTGATCCAGTTAATCGTGGTTTGATTTTTTGGTTTTTTTATGCCCTCGATATTAAAAAAAAAAGGGGGGGGAAACCTTCCTTGTTGATGGTTTGGAGAGAGTGAACACTGGACAAAACTGTGAATTGAGAGTAAGAGAGATGAGAGAGAGAGAGAGAGATTGAGAGAGATGAGTGACTGAGACTGAGAGAGAAGAGATTGAGAGAGATCAGTGAGTTTGAGTGTCGAGTGAGTGTCAAATGAGAGAGAAAGACTGAGAGATGAGAGATTGAGATTTCAGATTTGAGAGGAGACGCCAGATGCTAGTCTGAGAGAGTGAAGGTTGAATCTGAGAGGAGATGCCAGACGTCAGAGAGTGAGGTGAGACAAGCACAGTTGGTCGCCTGGTCGGAGTGTCGAACATTAGTGACTCGATCATCGAAGGGGGGAACACCGGAGGCTGTTGGCTCGTTGGAGAAGAAATAATTGAGAGTCTGAGAGAGTGAGACTGTGAGAGATTAGGAGTATGATTCAAAGAAGTTGGTGGAAGGAAAACCACCAAAACAAAGAGAAGAAGGGCTAAATGCTTGAAATTTTTCAATTTTCGAGACTGAGAGACTGACAGTCTCCAGTCTGGCACTCTAGCAGAGGCCGAAACTTTCTCTTTGAAACTTTCGATTTTCAATTTTCAATTTTCAAAGTTTCTCTTTGAAACTTTCAAAGAGAAAGTCTGAAAGTCTCTTAGACTACTGAAAGTGTTTATTCGATTTTCAAAAAAATAAAAATATAATATATAATATTATATAAATATATATATTACTGTATATATATTGGTTGGTTCGGTTAAACCAACATGTAAAACCTAATCAGAAATGTATGTGTAAAAACCAGTGTAAAACCCAATCTATATATATATATATTAAAACAAAGCGGTCAAGAATTTTCTCCTTTTTTTGAATTTTTTATTTTTTATTCCATGTCATTTTTGAAACAACCAATGAGATGCACTTTCTTAATAAGGTAAAATAATCTCTTATCCTAAAATTTCTCCTAAACTACCTCCCCTAGTTTCACCAAAATTATTTCTAATTCCTATTTATCTTCAAAATTATCTCTAATTTAGTAGAGTGTTTCTCTCCTAAATTATCTCTAATTCCTATTTATCCTCTCCCCTACTTTTTATCTATATCTATTGAAAGAAAGTTTGGGTTAAAAAATTTAAGAATTATTTAAATATTCTTACAAATTATATAATAACTTTAAAATATTTATTAAAAACACAAAAAACTATTTTTATATTTTTACAAAATATATCACGAAATTATGTACTAACAATTTAAATTATGTTTTTTCTGGATTATCAATTTAAATATTTTTTAAATATTTAATAATATGTAATAGCTATGATAAATATTTAGTTATTTAAATATTTAAATAACTAAATATTTATCATAGCTACACTTTAAATAGTTAAAATAACGAAATTATGTAATAAATTTTAAAAAAATCTTCAAAGTAGAAAAATGACTATAACATAATATTGAAATTAATAGTAATTTAGTATTCTTACATAATATTGTAAATAACTAGTTTCACTTATATCAAGTAATAATTCGGGAAAATAACTTTCAAAAAAATAATATTTATTAATAATAATTTTAAACTCTAAATCTGTATTTATTATGTAATTATATATACTAAAATTAATATTTATTGTATTTCAGTAACTATTTATTGTTTTTTGTCATAAATGTATTTTCAATGATTATGTATAAATTTATTTAGTTTTGTTATTTAACAGAAAATTTTCAATAACTAAGGGAGATTAAACTACTATTATTGAATTTTTTTAAATTTAATTTATTGTACTTATTGTATTTTTGTTATAACTTATTGATTAATATTTATTAAAGATTAAACTATTGTTTGAGATCATACTATTTGTTGACTAAATTAATATATTTTTAGTACTTATTGTATTTTTGTAATTATTGTATTTTTTCATTATCAATATGTTTTCAATAACTGTGTATTTTCACTATAAATTTTCAATAATTAATGGAGATTAAACTATTGTTATTTATTAGAGATGAAACTATTAATTTAGTTGAAATTATGAGTGTTCGTGAGTTGGTTTGATTTGATCGTAGGATATTTGGCCAACCAAATTGACCTAGTCAAGCTAGGGAGTTGGTTAGCTAAAATCAACTGATCTTTTGTGAAAACCGACCCACTCAAGTTGTATCGGTTTGGGTCGATTTTTTGGTTTAGTCAGTCGGTTCAAAAGATTTAAACTTAAAAATTAAATTTAACTTTAAAAATTTTAAAAATTATAGTACAACTATTAAAAATTAGATTTATGATATAAAACATTTTAGACTAAGAAATATGGGAAATTTCCCAATTTTCCATATTAATAATTATATTTAAAATATAAATATTAATATATATCCATGGTTAGGTGGTTCGATTTTGGTTGGTTTACAAATAGCCAAAGTGAAACTGATCCAACTTGGTCAAATTGAGAAATTTTTTAACCAAAGTTGACCTAAAATACTAGAAAACCGACCAGCTCGGGTCGAGTTGATCGAGTTGGTCGGTTTCATCAATTTGATGAATAAACCTAATTGAAAGTAATTATTGTTATTTTTGTATTATAAAAATTTATTAAAAGTAGTATATAAAATATGAATAATTATTAATTATTTAAAAAGTTGAAGATATAAAACAATTGTATACTCTTATGTGTTTCTATTAGGCTACATTTGGATGCGATGTAAATCAAGAACCAATGTGAATTTTGCATCGGTTCGGTTTTTTATGCGTTTGGAAAGAGGATGTGATTATTATCAACATAAAAAACACTCCAATTTAGTTTTGTGTGCATTTGGATGGAGTGTAGCTTTACGTCGATAATAGATGTAAACCTCATCACCTCTAAAGTTTTACACCAATAATTGATATAAAAACTATATTGATTTTATCGATATAAAACTTTACACTCTACCACCCATCACTATTTAAAAAAAAACAAAAAAAAAAACAACAGTCACTTTTTGGTTTAGTGTAAAACGTCATGAGTGTATTTTTACACTGATGACGTTTTACACTAATTCAAATGCAGCCTTAGGGTCATTTACTAAAATACACCTTATAGTTTTACATATTTATTTAAACCTACATTATAATTTTCATTTTATTAAGACATCCCATATATTTTACAACTTATTTACTTAATCAATATTTCATTAAGGATTGTTTGTTTTGCCATTAGGCTTATATTTTTTATTCCAAAAATACCCTTAACACTATTTTTTGTATAGAAAACAAAATTGACAAAATATAGCCAATAGAGTGGTGCCTATGTCTTATTAAGGGCAAAAATGGTATTTTATTTTTATTTTCTTTTGATTAAATTTATTTAAATAACATTAGGGTCAACACTGTCATCTTCCACTATCTTCTAATGAAATATTGATTAAATCCATTCGAAATTATAAGTGATGTTTTAGTAAAACGCTAACTATAGGGTAGATTTTAGTAAATCCATGAAACTATAAGGGGTATTTTAGTAAATGATCATTTCTATTATTTAGCTTTCACTTAATAAATCCCATGCATCGCACGGGTCCCCGAGTGTTAAATATAAAAACAAATATGTAAAACCCAATGGAAGATACATTTATAAAAATCAAAGTGTGAAATCAAATCTCACGTTATTGAACCACCATTTTTCTTAACTCTTATGTAAAAACCAACTTATGATATTAATGAGCATTTGCTAATTACAGAAGTGTCATTATTTATCTCCTTGATTTTTCTACTAATTATAAAAGTGTCATTATTTATCACCTTAAGTTTTTTATTAATTACAACAATGCCATTGAAAGCAATTATTGTCTCTTTTTTAGTTGTGCATATGACATTGATTTTTCATGTAATTACAAGAGTACCATCAATATGTAATTATAATATTGCCACAAAATTGTTATTACTTTCTTTATACTTTTAATTTATTATCCCCTCTTTCTCACTCTCTCTAGCAATGGTTCAAGTTAATATGACGGATCCAACCCAATTGGGTAAATTTGGTTTTGATTCGTGATATATTATCTCAATTCTTATCGAGTCGGAGCTTGTTCCACCCAGTCACAAATTGTAAATATATTATTTATATTACATTTTTATAAATTTGTTATATTATTTATTTTTTTTGTAAAAAAACATGTATATATGATAAAAATAGTTGAAAAGATACTTGTAGTTTTTGTTTTTCTTTATTTAAATTGTAATGTTTTAGTTTTATTTTAATAATTTATTAATTTTTAAAAAATCAAATCGGATTAGATCAGATTTAAAAACCCCACTTCCTCATCAAATTGAATTCAAACCCATGTTTTATCATATTTGATCGGATCTTCATATTAGATATACAATTAATAGTGTCCAATCAAATTCAGATATGCCCTGATTCGTATCCAATCTAATCCGTTTGCATCCCTAGTCAATGGGTCAAGTTGAACTTGATGGACCTAAACCGATTAGGTGAGTTCGATTTTTGGTTCATGATATATTGTCCCGATTCTTATTGGGTCGGAGCCAGTTCCACCTAGTCACAAATTAATTTGGAACTCGATATAAAATTACAGACATTGACTTGGAAATTTGT